CCCACAACCCGAGACTTCCTGCTTAAATCCATCAGGTCCAAGACTTTTTCTTAGATTCCATGAATCCAAGACTTCCTTGCTCAAGCCTCTCTGGCTCAAGACTTCCTGCTTAAACCCCTCAGGTTCAAGACTTCCTGCTTAGGTTCCACGAACCCAAGGCATCTGCTCAAGTCCTTCAGGCCCAATACTTCCTTGCTTAAGTTCCACGAACTCAAGACTTCTGCTCTGACTCACAGTCCAAGACTTCCTTGCTTAGGTTCCAAAAACCCAAGACTTCTGCTCATACTCTAAAGTACAAGACTTCTGCTCATAATCTCTGTCTATGAATTTATGCTCAATCAACAATTGATCAAGACTTTTAATGCTCTAGCATATAGAAGGAGACTTACTTGGCTTAAGTTTCTCAGCAAGAGACTTTGATGCTCAAGCACATAGTAAGAGATTTTGTCTAAACTACTAAATAACATGTTTAGCATAATAGAGAACAAGGTGTACTTGATACAAAATTAGAGGTATAGGGTAATCATCATAACAAAGACCTTAAACACTTAATATTTCTAAGATATTAAATATTTAAGAAATCTTAAGGCTTTGTACAATTTACAACATATAACAGAATTTCTGCATACTTGATTGTGTTGCTTATTCTTAATCTTGTTATTCCTTCATTCAGATAGAAGTGTAAAACACTCTTATCCTTCTTGACTTTCCTTCTCTATTTGCTCCTTGTTCGTTATTGAAGATTTAGTTTGAATCTTCAGCAACTTATATAGCAGTTATAGAAGACTAACCGTTGAAAGAGATAACTTGAATAAGTGTCTTTGTTTTTCCATACTACAAGAAATGTTGAAGATAGATACACCAAAATATCTTAATCTATTGTGTAACCTGTTTAACCATTGCGACTTCCATGTAATCTTGTACTATAGATCTGGTGAGAGTAAATATCTGTAAAACATGTCAACTTTTCTTGAGCCTTGCGAACATAGACTCTAGCTGACAAACTGATTTGACAATGCAGCTTGCTTTCTGCAGTACAGATAACTTAAACTTTATTACTAACTCTGAATGTTCACCAGAAGCTGATATATTAACTTAGTGTAGAGACAATATGTTTCTCTTCTGATGCTGAGGCCTTCAGCTTCAGAGTCAACGTCAGACATCACTTAGAGAGTTTTCATCAGATTGTGATCGATCAGAGGCTAGTAACTCAGCTCCTCTAGACTGCATCCTTATATATGATTCTGAATGCATTCTTTTTAAGCTTTAGAACCTGCATACTTGGAACACACATTAGATAACACAAATGTTCTTTCAATACTTGTTTATCATCAAAATTCAACGGATATATGTCATGAACAAATTTTGTTCTAACATTTACTTTACTATTATTCATATATTATTATCCAGTTACTGTTACTTCTATATTATTTTTTATACTGAATATGTTTAGTATATTTAGTATAGAATTTAATAACTGTAACATTTACGTAACTGGTATGTCCGACTAATTTATCAAAGCCTAGAGTGTGAGGACCATTGTTTTGATAGTGCTCTTATTTAAGTCGTAAATTAAATAATTAAAAAGGGATTTGTTTAAGGATTGATTTTTAAATTGTTTTTAATTAAAATAGTTACTGCACTGCGAAAGCGTAATTTAGAGATACTGGTTTAGTTTCGAAAGAACGGAACCTGTATCTGACTTAGGTTAAAATTCATATTTTAAATTAATTGAAATGCGAAAGAAATATTTTCTTTAAATTGTAAAAATAAATGTCTTCAAAAATAGATTTTAAGATTATAATCAGACACACGAAAGCAGACGTTTATTAACTTAAAACTCGATGTTACACGAGCGAAAGTCGATAACATCTTTAAACTTATTTTTCACCTTAAACAACTTTATAATTAATCAAAAATATAATTTTCAAAAAAAAAAAGTTTTACGCTTTAACATGCTGAACATGCAAAAGCAACGGTATAACTTTTAGACTAAAACTTGATTTTGGCTATGCAAAAGGCAAATGGTTCAAAAATTAAGTTTAGTGTGCTATAGATATATTAAAATACATAATTAACTTTTTTATGATAAATTTTTATTATATAAATGTTACATATATATAGTTTTGAAGAAAATACTAGCTTTTTAAATTTTCACTAGAATTTAAATAATGTTACATATATATAATTTATTAACTAAGTATTAAATAATGTTAATTTCACTAGAATGTATTAGGTAAGAATCGAACCGGATTCTTGTAAGACCTTCTTAGGTCAGGTAATAAACACCTGACTTAATAAATAAATTTCTTAAGTCATTTCAGTAAAAGAACCGACTTAAGAAATTTAATAAAAATTATATTTTTTTTATTTAATCTTTGTAGGTCGGTTAAACATAGACCCGACATAACAAAGTTTCAAATATCTATGAATTTGCCACCGTGTGGTTTCTTAAGTCGGGTTATTGATGAACTGACTTAAAAACATCTGCTAAGAAAGTATTTTTCCACTAGTGACAACTGATCAAGACTTTTAATGCTCTAGCATATAGCAGGAGACTTACTTGGCTTAAGCTTCTCATCAAGAGACTATGATGCTCAAGCAAATAGGAAGAGACTTTATCTAAACTACTAAATAACATGTTTAGAATAATAAAGAACAAGGTTACTTGATACAAAATCAGAGGTATAGGGTAATCACCATATCAAAGACCTTAAACACTTAAGATTTCTAAGATATTCAATATTTAGTAAATCTTAAGGCTTTGTAAAATTTACAACATATAATAGAATTTCTACATACTTGATTGTGGTGCTTGTTGTTGATCTTGTTATTCCTCCATCTAGATAGCTCTTATCCTTCTTGGCTTTCCTTCTCTATTTGCTCCTTGTTCGTTATTGAAGATGTAGTTTGAATCTTCAGGAACTTATATAGCAGTAGTAGAAGACTAACCGTTTAAAGAGATAACATGAATAAGTGTCTTTGTTTTTTCATAGTACAAGAAACGTTGAAGATAGATACACCAAAAGATCTTAATCTATTATATAACCTGTTTAACCATTGCGTCTTCCATGTAATCTTGTACTATAGATCTGGTGAGAGTAAATATCTGTAAAACATGTCAACTTTTCTTAAGCCTTGTGAACATAGACTCTAGCTGACAAACTGATTTGACAATGCAACTTGCTTTCTGCAGTACGAATAACTTAAACTTTATTACTAACTCTGAATGTTCAGCAGAAGCTGATACATTAACTTAGTGTAGAGACAATATGTTTCTCTTCTTATGCTGAGGCCTTCAGCTTCAGAGTCTACGTGAAACATCACATAAAGAGTTTTCATCAGATTGAAACACACATTAGATAACACAATTGTTCTTTCAATACTTGTTTATCATCAAAATTCAACGAATATATGTCATGAACGAATTTTGTTCTAACATTTACTTTACTATTATTCATATATTATTATCCAGTTACTGTTACTTCTATATTATTTTTATACTCAATATGTTTCGTATATTTAGTATAGAGTTTAATAACCGTAACATTTACGTAATTGATATGTCCGACTAATTTATCAGAGCCCAGAGTATGAGGACCATTGTTTTGATAATGCTCTTATTTAAGTCGTAAATTAAATAACAAAAAAGAGATTTGTTTAAGGATTGATTTTTAAACTTTTTTTAATTAAAATAGTTACTGCGAAAGCGTAATTTAGAGATACTGGTTTAGTTTCGAAAGAACGGAACCTGTATCTGACTTAGGTTAAAATTCATATTTTAAATTAATTGAAATGCGAAAGAAATATTTTCTTTAAATTGTAAAAATAAATGTCTTCAAAAATAGATTTTAAGATTATAATCAGACACACGAAAGCAGATGTTTATTAACTTAAAACTCGATGTTACACGAACGAAAGTCGATAACATCTTTAAACTTATTTTTCACCTTAAACAACTTTTTAATTAATCAAAAATATAATTTTCAAAAAAAAAAAGTTTTACGCTTTAACATGCTGAACATGCAAAAACGACATTATAACTTAGACTAAAACTTGATTTTGGCTGCGCAAAAGGCAAATGGTTCAAAAATTAAGTTTAGTGTGCTATAGATATATTGAAATACATAATTAACTTTTTTATGATGAATTTTTATTATATAAATGTTTCATATATATAGTTTTGGAGAAAATACTAACTTTTTAAATTTTGTGGAAGTTTATCCATATGAGATAGACTTTTTGTCGTTTTTCCGTGCAAATAAAGGGAGTGAACAAAATTAATTAAATTTTAGAATATTAATTATTTTAAAAATAAAATCTAAATAGACATTAATTATTGGCGAGTAAGTTTATCAATGTAAAATGTTGTTAAAGAAAAATAAAGCATTATTCAAGATATGAGTGTCACAATTTCCAGATAAATAGTGTAAAATATCTTATATTTATTTTTAGTTTGTCCTTGGACATACAAAAAGATTGCTATTTAAATATATTTATTAAATATTTGAATTTATAAATAATTTAAAATAATAAATTAAAATTATTCAGTTGTAAAAAGATTTATTAATATTTAAGGACTTATTTTTTAAATGACCTTTGCACTTGTTTGTGACAATTTTTAAAACAAAAAAAAATTTAAAAATTTCATTTTTTTTTGTTATAAAATTTAAGAGGTTTAAAAAAAAATCAAATGAGAAGTTAGTCAAAACAACTTCTCATAAAATCAAATATGGATATAATTCCATATAATTCTCCAACGAAATCTCCAACTAATTATCCATATAATTCTCACACTAAATCTTACTGATTGCACTTGAATTTTAAAGTTATATCAAGTATTAATGATTAATCCCTAATATGGATAAGATCAAATAAAATCTAATTATCCATATAATTCTCCAACTAACTCTTACTGATGGCATTATATATGCAATGAATAATTTTGTTTATAGTCATCTTTTCAAACATTACTAATTTTCTTTTTGTAGTGCACGATGATGTCTGCTTCAACATCCACGTCACATAACACAAACCCTTTGAACACAGAACCTCGTAAGAAACTTATCGTCAAGCTCAGTTATCCTCCAGGTTCAAAAAAACGCGATTCAGATTCGTGCGGCACAGATGAAAACAAGAGAAGAAAGATTCAAGATTCTGTAAAACCAATCGTAACCTGTTATTGGGTTGATTCAGATTACCGTACCAAAACAACATCTTTGTCTGAAACAAAGCATAATAATGTTGTTGAAGACAAGAAGATGATCGAGAACCAAGTTTCCAAAACAACACCTTTGTCTCAACCAAAGGATAACAATGTTGTTGAAAACAAGAAAATGATCAAGAACCGAACACCTTTGTCTCAACCAAAGGATAACAATGTTGTTGAAAACAAGAAAATGATCAAGAACCGAGTTTCCAAAACAACAACTTTGTCTCAACCAAAGAATAACACGAAGGATTCATCAAAAACAACCTTTGTGACAAGAGTTGAAGAATGTGGGTTGAAACAACCGATGGAGTGTGTTAGGAGGAGGCAATGTTGGTTGATTTTGAAGAGAATGTTGGTAGATAGAGATGGTTGGGATTTGAAAGATCCTCCAAAAATAGCAATGGTTGATAAGTGTAAGATAAAGGCAATAGGTTTGAAGGAAATAGAGAGAAAGTTGAGGTTGTATGCAACACCGGATGAGTTTGCTAGTGACATAAGACTTGTGTTCTCTAATGCAATGCTAATGTATCCTCCAAGGAATCATATTTATCAAATTGCAAAAAAGTTCAGTCAGAATTTTGAACACAAATGGAAGTCATTGAAGGATATGTGGGACCTTGAGGATACAAAAAGAGTACAAGATACTAAAGAGTGCAACATGTTGTTATAGAAATTGTTCTGAAGTTCTTGTTTTTTAAAATTTGATTATTCTGTCTCAACAATGTAACAGAATTTCAATCTATGCAAACCATATTTCTTTCGTTATTTTATTATTCTGTCTCTAGCATGAGCATATTTTAGTGCATGGTTGGTTAAAATCTCAAATTAACTATGCAAGTATATATCACTTTATTAGTTATGTTTAGTAATATTACTCAAATTCAATAACTCCAACATATATTCTTGCAAAAGTTTTTAAATTGTTTGCACTTGTGATATAGAAAGCAACTAAAATTGCGAATGGGTAGATATGTTTAGCTTAATTTTCTCTACATAAATTATTAAATAGTTTGGATAGACTCGACTTAATTATTAATGAGGTGTAAGACACTTATCTAGTTTTAATCTATGTTAATATAAAATGGTATCGTAATCCTTAACAAAATAACAAATAATTACATTTTTATTTAAAAATTTAAAAATTGCAATATTAAAATTCAAATTTCTTAAAACCTTCAAACAATAATTATTGTTGATAATTTTTTCTTAGAGAGTTAGGTATTGGTGTTGACGAGATCGGATCGGATCGAACCGAGTTAAGTGTCGATCAGGCACACATGTGTAATGTTTCATGGTATAGTGTGTTCTCACCTAACCACAAAAATGTGTATCCCTTGAGGCCCAATCCAATTAGCCAACTTGTAATATATAAACACTACAAAAGTTTGTTTTCCCTTCTATGTGGGATTTTAATGAAATTTTTTCAAATTTATCATCATACACACTAGTCCATACTTGTGCTCATTTATTTTCAACTTAGTGCCATAACTCCTTCCAATTTTTCAATAACCCTTTGATTTCCAACAATACCCTACTTAAATTTTAAAATAGTGATTTCAAAAGGAACACCAAATGTTTCTAAGATTGTGCATAAGCAGAATTATCTACAACTTGAACCTTTGTGTAGCAAGTAAGGTTTTGAATCAACAAGAGTGACACAATTGTCTTGAACTATATCTCAGACATCAAACCCACACACAACCTTTTCTTAAGGTGTATTCTAATAGTCTGTGCTTTAATGGCTCTACACGTGTATCTCAATTTAGTGAAGCTCTATAAATTCTACCTCAAAAGTTCCACAATCACATATATGAGTCTATCAAGAGTACTCGTGTAGCTAGTTACATCCTCATACAACATATATATCTCATTAAGAGTTTCTATTATATCATGCTCTTATTGCTTCAAAATTCATGCTTTTTTTATTCACACTAGCATGATTGCATAATATTACTCACAACTTTTTATTACCCATTGAACCTATTTCTTGGGATCTCTAGTCTATTAGGCCACACTACTAGAAATATTGTATTTAGCCTCGGCCATTTTCCGACACTATAAGGCAAAAAACCGCCGCTACTAGCCAATTAGCCTCGGCGTAGCATCGGTGTCGGGGATAGGCTAAAACGATCGAAGCTAACATTTAGCCTCGGCCAAGAAGAGTCGTGTCTACAATAGCCTCGGTCTAGCCGTGTCAAATTTAGCCTCGGTTTAGCCGTGTCTACTTTAGCCTCGGTGAAGCCGTGTCAAAAAACAAAAAATAGTCCGGGCCTGACCGAGGCTAAAGTCAAACTCCATAAGCTCACATAATATTTAGCCTTGGTCCTGGTCGAGGCTAAAGGAACATTTTGCCTCGACTTTTTCGAGGCTAAGTTCAAACTTTATAAGTCAACAAAATATTTAACTTGAAGCTGCTAATTTACTGTTGTTAATTGTAGCTGCTAACAATTGTCCAAGGAAAAATGCCGCTACCGCAGAGAAAACTGTAGCTAATAATTGTAGCTGCTAATTTACTACTAGTCACTGATCTTGGACCTTAAATTCGGAGGTTCTAACTTTGAACTCATCAGGAAAAATGCCGCTGCCGCAGAGAGGCAGTCCGGCGAGGGCATCCGCCAGCCAGTGGACGGAGTCGGCGGTGGTGTGCAGCGGTGCAGATCAACTGCAAGGCACCATTCAATAATATTGCAAAATTAAGGGGGAAAACTAACATTTTAATACTTTCTAGATAAGAATGGCAGTGACAAGTTCATTCCATGCATCAATATTATAAACTATGTAACTTCTACATTTTAATACTTTCTAGATAAGAAAGGCCATGATGTCAAAAAGAAACATTAAATTAAGAAAGTGTCATACTAAGATAATGTCAAAGTCGCTACTGAAAGTTGAACTGCAACAGTAGCCAGTGAAGTTTGAGTTATTTTTATCAATGTTTTCTAAAACAAAAAACTTTTGTTTGGTAGTAGTGTTTTATGCTCCGGCGGTAGTCGATGTTCGGGTGATTGATCTAGTCGTTGTTTTAACCTAACTGAACTGACTCGTTTCGTTTAACAGAATTCTAAGACCAAATTGAATTAACTAATTCACCCTCCAGCTATGATTCAAGCAAGCTAACAACTTAAACTGTCTTACTCTAACCTATTGCACCACTCAATACTGCATATTATTAACAATTGTGACCATACCAACTATGGTTTCTACATTCTATAATGCAATGACTTTTCAAGTCCATTATCATTAGAGGTTAAACAACAGAAAGCAAATTTAAAAACAATTTAACAATTTGCTGGCAGGATAGCAAATGCAGTACAATTGATTTAGATTATTACCCAACAATAACCTCTAAACCATGAAATAACAATGACTTCAACAATTTATCCACATGGTCAACTAAGAAAATTTAATGCTGGAAAAGATAAAAGGAGGCATATACCAGCCAAATGAAGACATCAGTGCCATGATCAAGTACAACAGCAGTATCAGACTGCATATGATATCTTATACTAAATGGATAAACTATATTATATATGAGTATATATGCCTTGCTGTATATGACTTGGAATCTCAGTACTATTCTAAAGATAGAAAGAGCAAAAAGTGGAGCAATATATCAGTTTTACTAGTACTGTGGTGCAATGAATTACAATTGCTATATATGTGGTGTCCTTGTGTATTGTTGTTTGTGTTTTTCTTACAGATCAACGACGACTCCTGAAAAGCCGTAACTGACAATTTTCTACGCCGGGAAAATGTTAGTATTCGATGCTTTTGCACTCTCTAACGCAACCGAGATCATGGAATTAGCGACAAAGTTATCCTCTGAGAATTCAAACACAGAAGAAAACCCCCCCTCTGCACTTGTCACAAGTGAAAAACCAAAATCAAAGGAATCTCAAATCCCTCAGACCAACAGTACTGCCTTAGAAAAATCTAAACCAGAAAACCAAACCAATTGTTCCAAACTAGGCTTCTGTTCAACCAAGCATTCAGCCGAGGACTTCAAATCTAGCGCATTCTGCCAAGGACTTCAAATCCAGCGTATTCTGGCCGGTGGCAAGAAACACAAGCAAAACTGAATCAAGCCTTTTCTGCAACATTCAGCCTGACTTTGTAGGGTATATTGCTATCCTATTAGTCCTAACTCTACCACAGCAGCATACAGGTTCAAAAAAAAACTGGTTTGCAATATTAAAATTTAAATTTCTTAAAAACTTAAAACAATAATTATTGTTGATAATTTTTTATAATAATGGTTCTTAATTTTCGCAATAGTCGTGGTATTATCGTGGTGGATCAACACAGTTGGCATAGGTTTTTCCCATAAAGGGATCTCAGCTAACAAGCATCTTAACTAACTTAGTTTCTTCACTAACATACACTAATGCTATTGATCCGCTGTCGCGCGCGGATCAAAAACGAGTCTTTTTGTAAAAATTATAGTACATCGACAGTAACTCAGAATATCGTTCTCAAGGATTCTTGTAGTGATTGACCAATAAAGTAACAATTTATGGGGGTTTGAATTTTGATTAAGATAAAAAATACTTAAAATAAGTGACTATAAAAAAAAGTGATTATTAAAATAAGCTAAAACGGCTAATCCTACTGATTCGGGTTCCGACTTATCATCGGCTATTATAACATCAATCCCTAAGCGGTACCAATCCTATTCGATTATGATATTAATTAGATAAGCGCTTATCAACATCAAATGAATTATGTTCCTGTTTACCGAATTAAGCAAACGGTTAAGAATATGACGAATTAACGAATTAAGCAAACGATAACACGCAATTAAATTTAGGAACATGCATACAATCGAATTTAACCAATTATATCCTATGAACAACAATTGAATTAAGTAAACAATTGCAATCAAATTAAGAAAATGACTTCATAGAAAAGGATTGAAAGGAATCAGATTTAAATTGATATTATAATAACCTCAAAGTGTTGAAACCGTACACAGCAGGATTTGCCCAGAGGTATTAGTTTTCCATGAGTTCTTCTCAAACCGCCTTTTCAATTTTTTTTCGTGAATAGTATATATTTAACAGTAAAACAAGTTTTCCCCTAAAAAGAAAAACAATGGATCCGGTTCAAACCCAACTGGGTCGAAAATATAACCCAGACCCAAAACATGACCCAAAACTAAAACAAATTCCTAATGCTGTAACTTCAACGAATATTCTAGGAAAATATGCTCTGAATCTAACTTTGACTCCAACACGAAAGTCTTAGCTCTCTCTCTCTTAGCTTTCCGGTGATTTTCAGAACGCCTCAAACGGATTTCGGGAACTCCAGTTATGATCGTTTCCGCGCAGACTGCTAAAGCTGAAAAATGAAGTGCGAAAATCAAATTAAACCAAAAATAAAATAAAATATAAAAACATAATAAAACATAATAATAATCAAAATAAAGTAAAGAAATGCCTAAGTAAAAATATAGGAGAATGTGCATAAAGATGCGCTGATCACTATCATCTCAAACTCCATCTTGGATTGAGCTAAGATAGAGTGTTTCTTTAATTTCCAAGATACAACTTTCCAGCTATATTAAATATATAGCTACTAATTATTGTGGAATCATCTGATAAGGTATTCCAACCTACATAACTATATCCTTCAAGTACATCAATAAATATCTGATAATGTAAATTGAGATTC